GCACTTCTGAGCTATTTGTGTCAATTTAAAAGGCAGGTGTCTTTCCATTGACCTGTTTTCAGTGCTATAATCCCATTTACCTTGACACGATCCTCTGGAGTTTTGCTTTGTTTGGGAATTTTAAATTACTTTATTTGTAACAGATCAAAAGCTATCTGGCACATACACTGCATTTAGATGCAGGCACTTTGATGGATCTTGCAGGCTCTCTGCATGTACATGTTTGCGTATTTCCCCAACAACTACTCCTGGCCTTGCTCACTGCCCCCGATTTTAAATAGAAACCATCTTTGTAAACCTTTCCTATCTCCTTCCTAGGACTTTCAAAGGCACTCTTGTGAGACTTTGCAGGTTGATTTATGCAACTGAGGTGGGCGTCTCTAACATAATATCAACTCAGGTTTCTGCAGGGCTGTCTCAGTGCACTTGTGTCCTAAGTGGTCTGGGTGGCTGGTTATACCCTATAAGCTCCTCTCCATGGCATTTTTGATCCACAGAGGGCTATGGAACAATGCCCCCATGCAGACCAATGGCTGGGTAATTCGAAGGGCCCAGACCAGGCTTTAGCCAACTGTGACCCCTAAACCAAATTCAGCCCCCCCTTGCTTTTATACAGCCCATACTAAGAAAGGCTTTTACAATTTAAGTGGTTGAAAAAAAACGAAAAGCAGCCTATCCGATGATATGTGAAAAGTATATGCAATTCAAACTTAGTGTCCATAAATAAAGTTTTATTGGAACACACACACACACACACACACACACACACACACACACACACACACAAAAGAGGATATTCCACATTCCATGTCCGCTTCTAAGTATGACATATTGATGGTATTTTGCTGTTTATACACTATTTCTCAATCCATTAATTTGTTGATGAGCATTTGGACTGTTTATGTTTTCTTGCTATTGTAAATAAAGCTTCTATGAATATAGATGTACTTATCTCCATACATGTCTCAGTTCTGATTTCTTTGGGGTATATTTCCAGCTGTGAAATAGCTGGGTCACATAGAATTTATATGTTTAGCCTTTTAAGGAAACACCAACATGCTT